GCCTAGGGCCCGGGAAGAATGGGGGCCCGGAAAAATCAAGGACACGTAACGTAACGTGTGAGATTTTAAAGTACACGCAACACAACAATTTTACACTATACAGGTAGGGGTAGGTACAGGTACTTTTTGCTTTATTTCTTTACATTAAAAATTTGCACTATATTTGTATGCTATATTAAATAATGACTAAGTAGAGTGCGGATAAAAATGCATTTATTTTTATAAAATAAGCACTTATTATATGCACCAAAACGGGCAAAAGAAGCTGAAAAAAAAGCAAAGTAAGCAACCAAATGCACAATCAACCATCCACACAAAAAACCTTTATTCCTTAATAAAATATGATTATGATGAAACTAACTCTAATTAGCTATCGGAAAAACAATTAACAATTATGTATTTCTCCAAATTTGCAATTAAAAAATGTTGCCTTCGGTCCGATAAAATATTTTTATAGACGGATGTCTTTCACTTTTGGCATATAGTGCAGCGGAGAGCCGGCGCTAGCTCGCTTATTTGAGGTAGTTTTTTTTTCGGAGTAGAAAGAATTGGGACCCACACCATTTTGTTCAGAAATGTTTGAACCTTCAGAATCTCGCTTTACGACATTTTCCCGTGGTCCTGACAAAAGTTATAGGCCGCTAAAGTTGAACTTTACTCATTTTCGCGCGGGCGACTAGACCACCGAAAGTATTTATTTTCTCAGCAACTAAGCGATATACATCAATAATTCCTTTTGTAAAATGAAAGTACATTTATAGCAGAATCTAAAGCATTCAATGTACCTACCTACCTTGTTATGCACAGTTTTTAGAAAAATGACCGTCAACTTCCAAAATTCCTGTAGCAGATGAAAAGTCCGCACTTTGAACTCTCATAACGCATCGCTCCTTGTTGCGCGAACGCTGCTGCCTATTCTTCCCTCTACGTCACACTCGCGACTCTCGACTCGGCGAGGTCGGTAGGTTTTTACTTAAATGACCGTAACTTTTTTATTATGAAAAATTCACGGTAATGTTATAGAAAATAAAATAATCACAATGCTTTGGAGCATCGAATGAGCTATAAATATTGGAAATCGATATCGTGAAATAAAAAGTTATGAGAGTTCAAAGTGCGCACTTTTCATCTGCTACACGAATTTTGGAAGTTGACGGTCATTTTTCTAAAAACTGTGCATAACAAGGTAGGTAAATTGAATGCTTTAGATTCTGCTATAAATGTACTTTCATTTTACAAAAGGAATTATTGATGTATATCGCTTAGTTGCTGAGAAAATAAATACTTTCGGTGGTCTAGTCGCGCGCGCGAAAATGAGTAAAATTCAACTTTAGCGGCCTATAACTTTTGTCAGGACCACGGGAAAATGTCGTAAAGCGAGATTCTGAAGGTTCAAACATTTCTGAACAAAATGGTGTGGGTCCCAATTCTTTCTACTCCGAAAAAATTTTTTGAACGATTTCGCGGCTCTCTCCGCTGCACTAATATTTTTGACCCGGTTAATTGAATTAATATTTAGAAGGAGCACCGAACGGTTTAACGTATATGCGAAAAAGTACACAACTGTGCTGGAACACGAGTTATTATAATTTATGAGAAGGGGCCCCAAAATTTCATTGTGCCTAGGGCTCGGACACACCTTAATTCGGCCCTGAGCATTTGAAATACTTACATGGTGGTATTCAGTCTTCATTATCAAATATACGCACACAATATTGGCCATTAGGCGATAAAGGTAAAGTCAAGGGAGTCTTAGGCATACGATGTTGCAGAGCACAACCAAAGTTAATGGAACTCCTCATGGGTTACTTGCCAGCGGCACGAGTTCAAATCGCTCGTCCATTTTCAAATTGCGGAGTTGGCTATTGCGATCCATTTAAACTTTGTTTTCAACGCAAACGAGGAGTTGTCTGACTGGAAACGGGTGCAACACATGTTTCAAGGGTTCTGGAACAGATGGTCGAAGGAGTATCTTTCCCAGCTCCAGCAACGGACGGAATGGACTACAAACCACCCTCAAGCGGCGTTAAAACCAGGTGCGTTAGTGACTCTCAAGGATGATAACCTTCCTCCACTTCAATGGAAGCTTGGGAGTATCGTTCAACTTCATCCAGGTGAGGACAATGTTTGTCGGGTTGCATCAATTCAAACAGGAAGGACAATCCAGAAGGTGGCGGTCCAGAAGTTATGTGTGCTTCCAGTTCCTATAGATCGAACCGATACCAACAATGTATTATTTTGTTATAATTTAATGTAGTTGTGTGTGTTAATTGAAATTACGACGCTCTTTATGTATTTATTTATTATTTTGTATTATGGATGCATCATCGTAAGCCTTCTTTAAAACATTCTGCAGCGTGTTTAATTGCAATATTAAAAAACACGCGTTTTTAAAAAGTTGCTATGGACAACAACGTCAATTCAAATCAAAGTCATATACAGAAATGATAGATTTCGTACCTCAAACATAACAAAGCTGCAACGATTACTTACCAAATATCAAACGCACAAAATTTCAAATTTTGAGAGGTAATTTATGGTCTTAAAATGCATCAACAACAAAAAATATATGCGTGGATAAGTGGTCTTTAAAACACTTGCCCTATTTGAAGCATATACCGGCTGCGGCCGCGTCGTCGGCGTCGGTTGTGCGGGAAATATCGCACGTTTTAAAGACCTTCTTATCTATATACTTATGCATACTATTATGAACCCACAATCCATGATTTTAGGTAACACGTGTTTCAACTACCTCTTTAAAGTTTCAGCTTACTTTAAGGGAACATCAACATGGTCGAATAAAGCGAAAACATGGAAACACGCGTAAGCTGCACGTAAAATTTGCCCTAATGACGTCAGAGTGCAATTATTTTTTTATTATACCTGAATCACAATCTCCGTTTTAAACACTCAGATGCGTGCGAAAAAAGGCCTTTAAAACACACGTGCTTTAAAGTAGCTAAGTAATGATACTTCAACTATGACTTTTGAAACTGTCATCTGGGTGAAATAAAAAATCCTCTTAGGTCGCTTTCTGTAAATGCAGAACATTTCTTTGGTTTGTACCTATCCTTTGGTTGAAGATTTCACAAACGCGCGTAATTTAGGGTATGCTTCCAAATCTGTTCCACTTTTTAAACACAGCATTGTTTGAAGTTTTGAATGTATGCACCAAAAGATAGAAGATTTAAATACCTTTGACATTTTCTTCATATATGCCAGCATTATCGATGCATTTAAGATTTTATTCGTAAGTAACTTCATATTCATCCATGGAAACAACTTTTCATATTCTTTATAATAGGCTTTACTGGATTTGGATTTTATACCTACCAACGTTTGTTTTGCCATTTAATGGACGGTGTAATATCTTTTTCAACGGAAATCGTTTTATTCACAAAAACGATGATTTTTATAAGCAAACGTCAGGTCACATTTCCATGGCAATCGTGAAATTACGAACACCCAGTGTATAACCGAGTATAACGTGAATATGATTTCATTGTATTTCCTATTTTTAAATTATACTGCAGGCATAATAAAAAATACTATACACGTGTATAATTGGTCTTTAAAGCACTTGCAACGTTAAAGGCGCTCCGCTTGGTGTCGTGCACTTAAACTCGTTGCGCGTGCTTTAAAGACTTGATTATACACTTGTATGTTAATATACTATTTCACGTGCTAATTCCATAGTAAAACTACATGTAAGTATAATAATGTAGTAGATGCAAAAATAAATTTTATGCATACATCCAATTACCATGGGAAAAACGTTTTTTTTTGCATATCGTTGCTCCCCATATTAGAGGTTTCATAATGACACCAATCGAGAAATGATTTGCTTTCTCATCTAATGATATTCAAATTAGTTCATTTTCAGTTGTATTTCTCATTATCTTATAAACAATTCGGCAATAAATCCAATTACCAAAATCATGAAAATTTCCTAGAGCACTGAAATAGGTTTGCACACAGGCGAAATGGGACGCTCATTAAAATGCACGGAAAACAAATATGGCGTACCTACTAGAGTAAATATTTCCGGTGTAAACGTTGTTTATTATAAATACTTTGTCCTCAGTGAACCTCATTTTACAAAAAAATTAATGCCAGTTGTCATAAACTGATATTGATTTCGACGATTGAGTCTGCTTTTTGTCTTACCATGATTTTGGTAATTGGATTCCCTATGTTCGGTTTTAGAATATTCACCCGGTATATGATTAGTTCATTGTGATATCTGAATTAAATGTTAAAACAAACACGAAAGTTACAATAAATGTCGCAATATACCTTTAAAAAGAAATAGGTACCTACTTTATATGTATACCAATGTAATTAATTATATCTTTTTGTGAACATTTTGGATACAGAACGTGTACTCAGAGAGTACCTATATAAAATATTGTCTTTGGAGGTAATGGGTTTGTGACAAAAAGGTTAGAGAAGGGTACGTTTTCGGAATAGTATAACAATGCGTAAGATGTTCAGAGGTGTTTTGTCTGAAATGCTTTGAGATCCTTAACGTGTCGACATTGCGAAGCAGCCTTTTCAAATACAAATGACTATACCGCTCAAGTATTAATTTATGTAGGTAGGTACTGTTACTAGAAAGCACTCTGCAAAACGGCTCTTTCATTTAAAGGTCATGCATGTAAATTAATATCTAACTTTGTTTTCTGATAAGTTAGACTCCTACGCAAGCTAAAAAAATCAATGCTCGCTTACTACCAAAAGCGCTACACTTTAATTATCATTCAGCGTGATTTAATAGCGTTCAAATTTCAAGTACGAATTCAATTGCCGTCGAAGCTTACTTGAACAAAATTAACTTTCTCTTTCTGTACTGCAGCCTACACTACACAAGGTCCTCAATTTGCAAATATTCAAGATATTCATTTAATTAGCGATAATTACCTAACAGTTACAAACGGAGCATTCAAGTTTGGTGTTGTAAATTAAATTATTTGCGTCGCGTCGAACAAGAGAAGACTTACCCTTGCAGCATGTATATGAAGTTGAAGAAACAATTTAATGTGGAGAGTAATAAATCGGCGGTGCTCAAGTTCATAAGGAAGTAGTTAGTTACGGTCCTCATTCTTCTATGGGCTGAAAACAAATTTATACAATTAGGTAATTCAATTTGAACTGCTCGGTAAGATTTTGTTTGCCGAAAAAATAAAAATTGTCTATGGAGGTCCAACTTATATCTACGACCCTTTTTTGGGAGAAGTACTGTAAAAATAAATATAAACTAACCCGCAATAAGTGAAAGTAAGAAGAGTGCACTTCTTCGACCATCTTTTGGATTATATTCGCGGTTTAGTTCGCGGGTGTCAATCAAGGTCAATTAAATTGAATCTTATCTATTTCTGGAAATTTTGAATAAGTGGAATTTTAAGTTTTATGTGCTCAATTATTTTATTTCGCGCTCTGATTGGCTGATTCATTTCACGGTTTTAATTAAATTAATTTAATCATATATTTGAATTAGACTTTGATTTTATAAATTAATTCTGGTACGTGATTCTCGTCTTTATGGAATATACTCGGGAATATATTAAATTATTTTAATTAAAAGTGAGGTAATTGCGCGTTGCCTAGAGCGACGTTTCAAACTATCCAGCTTTCTTTACGCATTAATTTTGGCCCTTACTATTTAAAGTAGGGAACATCAATCTGTTTACGGTAAATGTTCCTGACATCCATTGCATAAATATTGTTTCACGAAATATGGGCGACTTCATCATTATTTTATACTAGCACACTATTTCTGTCTTACTCATAAAAAATTGTACCCTTTAGATAGGTATGTAAAACAAGTTTTTACTTACAGTGCCACCAAGCTCAGAAAAGCCCCGGAAAATATGCGAACTAATTTTGAAATAATTCAGGCTGGCGAATAGAAAACCTGCAAAACGACGCGGTACATTCCGCGTCATAATCACAGAATAAGACCTTCACAGAACAGAAACATAAATGGCGCTAAATTGTCACTGATTACAGCGTTTCCCGTGGTTGTACGGAGAACTATTTATCGCAGACTCAAATATTTTTTTGCAAAACCTGTAATTTTGCTCGTTACAGGAATTATTTTTACCGTCGATTTTATACGTACACATGGTTTTACACAAGTCAATTTTGACTTTTGAAAGATTTAAAATATGAACAAGTTATGTGACTTTAAAAAGTGTTATGTGGCGGATTATAACAATAAAATATCAAAAAGGCATCGTTTCCCATATTTTGAAACAGATTGTTTTGTGCTTGAAACGCGAAGAGGATTGAAATGTGCTGTTATTTCTCTCCTATTTATGCAAGGTATGGAATTTATAAATTACCAACGGTATAGGCGCAAAAGGGTGTAGACTTGAGTTTTATATTTATATAGACGTAGATACTTATATTGTAATTCCTTTTAGACAATGAATACAAAATACGTTTTAGATAATTCAACAACTTCCACCCTCGCTTCTCAAGTAACAAGTAAGCACCAGGATCAAGTTAACATTTGTTGTCAAAAACTTGTGTGACAATTTGCTGAAACGGTTTTATTACCTCTTGGAACAAAAAATTTAGTTCTAAAGATATTTTTTAACAAAAATATTTAGTCCAAACAACAAGTAAAACCAAATATTTCGTACGACAAATCGTTATGTAAGGATCTTTCTTCAAAGTGTTAACATCTACAAACCGTAAGTTCAACTCACTTCTGAGTTTTATAATAGGTATGTAATTTGTAAATATGTAATTTAAGTTCTCTGTGTTAAATAATGTAATGTGATTGTATCTAAATACACTTTAATTTAACAACTGTGTATTCTTTATCGATATTTATGATTTATATCGAATTTGGGAAATTACTTCATGACTTTAGAAGCTGGTCACCAGATGGCGCTACTCTGATTTCGTTGCTTTAGTTCACAGTACACCCACCAGGCTCCGCCAAAATACCATACAAATTTGTAACATTGCTGTTTCTATTCTGAGAAGGCCGTATTCTGTGGTCATAATTATTAATTATTCCGTTCTGACAGTTTGCGCTTCACGTTATTTGCTTCTTGTATTTGCTTTATTTTACGTTTTCCGTCTCCAGTTTATACAAACTCGTCTTTTTCAAGACGCATATAGCTTGGATCTACGATCTTATAATAAGGTATGTAATTCCCTCAAAGTGTTTTTAAATGTAAAACTGTACCTAACCTTACATGAATCTTAGAGTGCTAATTGAGGTAAAACTTGTTACAGAAGTCCTAAATCATGAGTTTGGAGAGGAAACTTGTTCACTCTGAAGCTCGTAATATAATCCGTAAAGTGGTCGAATTCTTTGATCGACAAAAAGATGCAGGTCGTTGGAGTTTCCCTTTAGAAAAGGCAACCGAGTTAGCTGCCGCTGCAGTTGGGAAGTCAGTTTTATAAAACAAATTCGCAAAGAATCGGATGAAGCTGGGCCCTCTAAGTTAAAATCTCCTAAGAAAAAACGTCACGTGGAGCCAACAAACAAGATCGATTTTGATCGAGCTGATCAGTGTATTTTACGAAGAACTGTCCAAGAAATGTATACAGTTGAACGTAAGGTACCAACTTTGAATGTGCTCGTAGAAAAAATGCAAGAGAAGATCAACTATACGGGTGGAAGGGAAACTCTTCGCAAGCAATTGTGGAAACTTGGTTTTCGATACAAGAAGTGTCATGACAAACGTAGGTTGTTAATGGAAAGAAGTGACATTGTAGCATGGCGTTCTCGTTACTTAAGAACATTAAGAGAAAATGAACAACGTGAAGGTGACAAGAGACCCATTATATACTTGGACGAAACCTATATCCACCCATCGTATGGAGTGAGTAAATGCTGGCAATCAGATGAAGTATCGGGAGTTTATAAATCCAATAGGGCTGGTCAGAGGTACATCATAGTCCATGCTGGTGGTCATTCTGGTTTTGTAGAGGATGTTTTGTTGATATTTAAGTCGCACAGTAAATCGGGGGATTATCACGATGATATGAATCATACTAACTTTATGCAGTGGTTAGAGAAGCAGCTGATACCAAATTTACCAGCAAACTCAATTGTGGTTATGGATAACGCACCCTACCATAGTGTTCAAATAAATAAGCCGCCAACAATGAATAATCGTAAGGAAGTGATACGATCTTGGTTAGACGCAAACAACATTAGTACGACAGAAGACATGCGGAAGGCCGAGTTGTTAATGTTAGTAAAGAACATTTCTGACAGCAAGACATATTATGTAGACGAACTACTCAAACAACATCAACACACCGTTGTACGATTGCCACCATATCACTGTGAGCTTAATCCAATCGAGCTAATTTGGAGTACTATGAAGAGGAAAGTAGCAATGAATAATGTCGGGCAAAGTAATAGTAATATTGTTCAATTGGTAAAAAATGCTTGTGCTGAAATTACGCAACAGGAATGGGTTTTCATTCATTGAATTGCATTGCATTCATGTGAAACATATTGCAGAACAAATGTGGGAAGCTGATTGTTTAACAGAGGAATTTATTGAGAGCGTAGAATTTGTTGTGAACACCGGGAGTTCTGATGAGGATGAGTTGTCAAGTGATGATAATGAATGAAAAAAGTTAAAGGTTGTGTGTTAATTTAGTCAATGTGAGTGTTATTAATTTCAATATGATTGTTTCAATAACTGTCCATATTTACACACCAGAAATGCATCAGAATTCAAAATTGTGTTAAAAATCTAACAATTTTAAATGTGTTTACGTTTTTGTAAATCCAAGTATAAATAAATGATTTTATTATACCTGAATCACAATCTCCGTTTTAGACACTCAAATGCGTGCGAAAAAAGGCCTTTAAAACACACGTGCTTTAAAGTTGCTAAGTAACGATACTTCAAGTATGACTTTTGAAACTGTCATCTGGGGCTGAAATAATAGTACTTTGTGTACCAAGGCGGGAAAGTGGTTGTTTTCCGGGGCGAAGGAAGATATGTGTTCCTGAGGCCCGGAAAACAACTTTCGTGCCGTGGTGCACACAATATTTTTTATCCTATACACTTACATTTAAAATTAATCGCTCAACACAACGTCCGACCGCAAGCGCTTGAATTTGGATTTGCTTTAACGCGTCAACGTGCACGCGTTTGTTTTGTTTATTTCCACGTTTACTGCTGACTACGCGAAAAATTTTACGAAACGGTGCAATCTAAGTGGGTCCACGTGTATATTTTTTACTCGTAGATTTACCCCTTTCCCTTATAATACAGTTCAACGCAAATTCAAATTCTAGCGCGCTTGCGATTGCACAGTGCGGAGTCACCGAAGGGAGTCACGGTGCAACAGAGCAGAGGTGCAAGTGGAGAATACCGATCATGTGCGAACTGAGTTGACATTTCCGGCATTTCACTGGCGCGTGATTATTTCCTAAAATAACGGGATTTAAGGGGTTGTAATTAATACCAGGCGCATTTGAAATTATTACCGGTCTTGTGTATTAACAAATGTGTTTTAAAATTGAATGTGTGTTTTCAGGGACAAAATCACACCGGTTACATTTTAAATCCTTCGTAGTATCCATGTCTTGTCAAATGTTAGATGCTTTTAAGACTGGATTTATGCTTGGCGACGAAAGCGCAATGGGCACACTTTAAATCCTTGATGATCTTGTATTTTAAAAAAATGTGTTTTATAAATAGATTTATTCATTCCTTACAGTCACACTGGACACATTTTAACTTCGGGGTAGTCTCGTACGTTAAAATGCTACTTATTGCGGATAAGCGGTATTCTACTTACAGTGCAAAGTACATCTTGGTGTTAAAGGTATTGACACAGATGCTCGTTATTGAAAGTAAATGGGAGATTATGACTTAAGTTTGAAACGTTTGAATTGGTCACGTGATATTGGGAAAGTATTCAAATTCACGAAACAATGATAGGTATAGGTTCGCGGTAATTAAATAAATTCTTGAATTCAGTAAAATAAAGTGAACATAGGGTAAATTTAATTATTAAATCAGTGTTGACGATTTTATGTTTCTTATTTAATTAAAAAGAAATAACTTAATTTGACATTTTATTACAACCGCGCCATCTAGCTTACATAAGGCGTAATTTTT